AAAAAAGTCCTACCAAACTTGAGCGCCAAATCCAATTGAGATGGCAGTGCTTCGATAAATCGCGACAGCTGATCGCTAGTGGTGGTTATACAATTTTTTAACATTTTAAAAATATACCGAAAAATTCCAAAAAACCGAAAAATACTTGAAAATATTCTTCGTTGTTAATCTTCCGTGGAATATTACTAGCAAGATTGATCTCTCAGCTCTGCCCACATAATTTTATACGATTGATGAATCGATTTTCTACTTGATTGACTTGATAACGTTTAAAATTGACAAAATATACCATTATATACCGATATACCGTAAATATACCGTCGGTTCAATTTTTACCTTAAATGTTACATGATTACTACATGAAATGTTGCAGAGTATGTAGATATTACAACGATAGTTTGCGGGCAAAATTCTAAAATATAATCGGAATTCAATTTACTTTTATTTGCTATTTATTTTCTACAATTTAAAACCACTCGAGTTTAGTTTGTTTGCTTCTTGATATGTACCTGTAACATGAAAATCATTTATGAGGCTTAATAAAACACTGGAAATTTCTATTTCCGCCTTCAGCCTGGGTGTAGAGCAACAAAATCAGAAATTATGTCAACTCTTGCTAAGCATTAAGCATGCGAATGCGGGAGAGCTACAGACGTCATGTCTGATTTGGATCTGGCGAGTCGCCTTCTGAATGCCAACTCGGATCAAGTGAGCACTGGCTGGCTACTTTAGGAGCGATCATGAATAAAAGTTGGGCAGAATTACGACTAGGAAAACCCTGCCCTGCCGCATAATTGTGAATTCAACTTACACATGGGGAATTCTTCCGACGATGCAGCAACAACAAGCACATGGAATGCCGCCACCTGCCACCTTCCGCCTGGCGACGGCTTGCAGAAGAGCCTCGATCAGTCGAATGAAATTTGAATAAAAGCTCGCACAGATCGAGCAGCAAGTGGTGCATGCCAATGAGCTTCGGTGGCCGCGCATCACTCACAATAAATAGATGTCGACATTCTGTGGCCTCCACACTCACAATGGATCCACTCAAGAGCTATCTGCTGCTCCTGACCACGGCCGTCTGTCTGACGGTCTGTGTCCTGGCCACGCCCACTCTCAGCAAGTCCAAAGCAGTCGCCCTGAAGCCGATCAACCTTCCGGATCCAAGCCAACTCCTATCCACTCTGTCATCCAAGCTTGTCAAGCCGAAGCCCGCCTTTATTTCGGATCCTAAGCAGCTTCTGGAGGGCCTATCTTCCAAATTTGTTAAGCCAAAGCCCGTTTTTGTGAAGCCCGTGATTGTTAAGCCCGTCGTTGTGGTCAAGCCGGTGCTTGTCGGTGGTGCCGGCGGAAGTGGACACGGACATGGTCATGGACACGGACATCATGGCAAAAATAAGTTTACAAGTTAATTACAATTTTAGAAATTTATAATTAAGAAGATTTCGAGCTCCGAATAAAGTAAGATTTAAATATAAAAGTGTCACGGCTATAAGCTATGTACTTTCACGGGTATGCAAGATAAAAAAAAACTATATTTAGAAACAACAATTCAATTCAATATAATCTATTTTAACAGAATCAGCTCTAAGAATCCGACCTGGATTCAGTCGTTCAGTTGGCTTGAAAAGTGAAAGGGAGGAAACCTTCGAAGGATTCCAATAAGCGTATCTCGATGTGCATAATGATGGGTCCTAATGAGTGCCTTTGTGAGCAAATTGAAAGGCGTTGCTGAGAGCAGGCAGCTGTGAAGTCGAACCATCCTGTCGCCCACAGGACGTATGCGCAATTGCAATTGAATGCGAATGTTCCTCGGACGGATGAAGGACAGCGCTCGGCAGGCAACGCACATTAATACACAGCTGCGGGCCAAGTGGCGATACGAGTGGAAGCGCATTTTAATCAACCTAATCATAATCATATGACCATAACAGACATTTGGCCACAAATACTCAGAGATGTAACCCCATAATTTATACAGTTTTCTTTTCTTGTCGCTTGCGTTGTCTTGGGGCCGTTGTAATCAGCAGCAGAGTCGGCCAATACTAACCGCGTATTATGCAAAACCCAACAACCAACCCCCAACCCCAAGCCACGACCCCAACCCAAACCAAAACGTAGCGCCCAACACAGACACAGATACAGACAGAGAGACAGCCCCAGCCACAACCCAACAGCCCAACCACGCCCATGACAGCAGCCCTAGCATCCGATGGATGCAAAAGGGGTATAAAAGCCAGTTGGACAGAAGTTTTGCAAACATTTTGACACCGTTTGCGGACTCCGACAGAGTTTTGTGTTAGAATCCATATCCATACTTGCAATATTTAGGAAGTGAACGCGCAGCTTTCTAAGCTAAGGGCTCTCAGAATGGTAAGTAGATGGGGTGGATCGATCCACCATCGGGACCGAGATCTAGTGGGATGGGAACGGGATTGAAAGCTGCGGTTAGAGAACCCAGATCTATCCTATCGATTTAATGCTCGATCGTTTGCGGTTGAATGGAGATTGGGCTGGGGGATTGGCGTTAGTTTGTGTTTGTTTGTTTGTCTGTGTTTGTGCGGTGGTTGCCGCTTTGGCAATTATTTCTCAGAGCTGGCGTCGGCTGGACTGGATCTATTTTTAGATTTAGCTTCAATTACATCGCCACTAGAAACGAGTTTAGCCGCCAGAGCGCACCAGAGGAAAATCCATTGAATCGACCGTTTGGCTATTGAAAATGTTTTGAAAATGCTATTTATGCACAGGTCGCGGCTCTAAAGACATCAGTTATATCTAGATTTCTTAAGTGGCCATCCAGAGTCCGAGTCACGAACCGAGATGTGTCTGAAGAGATACACTTACGGTTCGCTATTCTCTCTCCTTACCCTGCATATCGTTTTCGGTCTGACCTTTGCGTTTCTCCAGAGCGCCGTGAAAGTGCTCCAACGTCCCGGCCCGGCCCGGCCCGACCCGGCTGGTATTTGGCATTTCCTTACAATGTGCCTAAGTACGAGTATTCTCTTTTATCATTTGCGTGTCCGCTGCCCATTTAGATCTGAAAGCGGCAATTAGCTCTGTCCGCCCCGGTCTCAGTCCCGCCTCTTGTCTTTCTTCGTTTGCGTTTCTCGTGCAGCTTAATCTCGTTCGTTCAAAGTCAATCTTCTGGGCTGCATTTCATAAGGTTGCATAAGCTGTATGCACAACAGCTTGTCCCAGGTACAGGTACAGCTACTTGATTGCCAATCGCATCGAACAGCTACCAGCTCCCAGTCCCGTTCTCAGGGCAAGTGTTCTATTCAGGGAGATACCATACCGACATCATTGAATCATACTTGTTCCATATTACAAGTTTGTTGACACCCCGCCATCGTATACGTAATATTTGTATTCCAAAAACGAAACCTGAATGTGCAATACATAAAAAAAGTAGTATATATTATATAAAGTGGCAGGGGAGGAGTGAAAAGTGGGGTGATGGATGACACACGAGCCGCGGGGCAGAGTGCGAGCGCAAGCGCACAATGATCGTAAATCTAATTGTGAACAAGCCTACATTGTTCGTGTATGGTACTCTGTAGGCATAGCTACTACTACAATTTATGTACATATATATATTGAGTCTCGATCTGTCGCTGGCTCTGCGGGTGCTGCGGGCGGACAGTCGGATGGACGGAACGGAACGGAACGGACAGAACGGAAACGGGCAATAATTTGCGACGCAAACGTTTTACACACGCTTTTACAGTGCATTTACGAGTACTTAAGAGTAGTACCATGAAGATCATGGAGATCTCCAGCGGGAGCTCGAATTCCTGCTGCTTCTGCACTTTTAGGAGTGTCGTGTGGGCGGACCTGCTGCCGCCCACATGGAGAGAGTTTCTTTTAGCTCGTGATGCTTCTGACGCGCTTCTTTTGCCTGAGCGCATGACTTACAGTGAAATTCTTCAATTTCAATTTCAGTTTCAATGAGTGCGCTCGTGTTTGTGTGTGTATGACACGGTAAGCCCAGCGTCAGTGGCCAGGGGCGTCGTCTGATCGCCGAGTGCAACGGCAGGGGGCTAAACACTGCGATAACCCAAGCAACGACCATGACTGCAGCTCTCGCTTTTGGATGGGGGACATGGATATGGATGGGGCCTTATCACCCCCTGGCTACTTCCTTTGTTCGTCTAAAGACCCCATTAGAGGCGCTTGTCTCCGCCTGCGAGTCTCGGGGAACGAAGCGGCGAGTGGGGGCCGGATTTGGGGCCGCATTGTCTGAGAGACACACATACAAAAGCAAACACGAAACAAAACGATATAAACCGCTGGCACATGCGTGCTTTTCGAGCAAGAAACGTTCTATATACAGGCGAGGGGTGATTCGAGAGTTCTTCCTTATGGAAACCAAACAATTTCAAGCTTAGGGTGCCAACTGCACCTTAAATTTGGGATATTTTCTGATCGCAGACTGCAATTGATTGCTAGGCTGCTGGGCATATTGTTCAATCAACCCTCGTCCCCTCACATATATGTATGGATGGCTGTATGTGACGATGTATCTGTGTGATGTGCATGGGCTCTGTCCGTCCGGCGCTCTGCCAGAACGGTCCCAGCATTTTGACATTTGAGTTTTGCAGTTAGTCTGCTTTCGCTTCTCATGCGGCTTGGGGTTTTTCCCATTTCTTTGGCTGCGGTGGAAAATCCTTTAACGTTCGGTGCACTTTTTCGCGATCCGATCGTATACGAATCTGAATCCGTGTCGTGCCCATTGCCTTGTCTACAGATATCGAATGATATATAGATTTAGCGCATATTTGTTTTGTGCAGGGTGAATATTTTGGAAAATTACCCAGAATCGCGTATGCATAGGGATATATCCAAATATATGTATGTGAATAATCGGTGCGAACGTGAGAATTGTGCGGCCCCTGCGACGCCAACGCCGACGCCGACGCCGACGCCGCTGCCACTGTCGCCGAGTGTCAATTATGTGGAAATATATTTACAAAGATATATGCAGACATATATATACATATATGTACGTACGTGTTTGTTAGTGTGTGTGGTGATTCCCTCCTGGCACTGAATGTCACTAAATGCGCCCGCCCGCCCCCACAACAGGCAGCTTCTTTATCGCGAGTGATAGAAAGAGAGAAAGAGTGCACGAGAGGAGGAGTGTGTAAGTGAGTGAGAGTGGTTTCGTCGCGCTCTGTGTCTATGAGTGTGAGTGTGGCTGTGGTGCGTGTAGATCTGTCGCGTCCCCCTTCCCCACCCCCCAACAATCATTCAACAAACAATTTTCATTCATTGCTCCCCCGCTCGGTCCAAGCGGCGATTCTGCTTTGCCTCTTCTCTGATCTGCTCTGATCTTCTCTGCTCTGCTCTGCTCTGTCCCCAAAGCCACGCACAAACCGACATCAGATAAGAGGAGAGAGAGAGAGAGGAAGAGAGGAAGAGAGCAAAAGAGAGCCACGCGGCGTGTGAACAAAAAGTGCTCTCGTCTCCGGCGACCATAGAACAGTGGGTTGCATAGATAGTGCCCGGGCCACGCCCCCCTATGACGCCTCTTAGGCGTTATCAGCGCACACATAAAGACCTGACCAAAATCCACACAAAATGGCGATGAACCCGAGTGCCAGAGAAACACCGCAGGCCTGAAACACTGAAACTGCCGTCGGTTCGGCTCCCACAAACCACCATCACCCCCACACCCGGGTGTCCGCCCCGGGAGGAGCGATAAGCAATCGAAAAGTTTGGAGCCCATAGCTCGCATCGAACCCGAAACAAGCGCCTAAGGTAAGCCGGTTAGACATTTGTTGCGCCCTTTCAAACGCCAAGACGGAAGCATTTAAAAGCCTATAGAGTCCATACCAATGGCCTCAAAAGTTCTATCCCTTAATCATCAAAGCGATCAGCTTTTGCTTAACCATTTACGAGTAACTCGGTAGGGAAATTCTATCAAAATCAACGTGCTAGAGCTTTATGTGGCATGAGAACAATATGCCTGTAAAGTGTATATATACTCCTCTTAAGCTTCGGCTTCCCCGATTCCAGCCTTTCTTCCATGTTTGCGTATATTTTTAGCGGTCTCACACCCTTTTTACAAGTTCAGTCTGTCTTACGCTCGGACCCTGCTCCCCGGACACCGGGGTTGGCCTGGCCTGGCCTGGCCCACTTTGAGGTTAATAACATCTCGGGTCTGGGTCTGAGGCCATGTACGATTAATTCGTAAATAGTCGCAGCCGGTGGCCCTGTCCCAGTCCCTGTCCCTGGCCCTGGCCCTGCATTATACGCGGTAGTACATACGTACCTCAACTCAAATGACAAACACAAATTTGTGTGAAAAGAAATTGTTACAAGGTCAATAGTTTGAGCGAACGAAGCGAACGTTGGGAGGAATATTTACGGGTCCATTTACAAGCGTTCCCCGCTTTCCCGATCCAGCACCTAGTTCCCCTAGACATTATATTTTTGTTCTCTTTTTGATTGTAAATATTCAGACGTGTTTATTTTTATTAGCGCATATTTGGTTGTAGTTGAAGTTGCCGACACGTCTCTGTGTGTGTGTTTGTGTGGGTGTGCGAGTCAAGATTCTGTGGCGGTGATTTCCGGTTCCGTTATTTAAATCTGTAATGGGTGTTCCACCACCACCACCACCACCACCACCAACACCACCAACACCAACACCACCACCATTCATTCAATTTACACTCATTGATCAGATCAGGTTCGTGGTGCGTGGGAAAGCATTGCTCTACCATTGATCGTTCTCTTAAAGCAGAGCAGGTCGTAGTATAAGAGATGGGAAGCGAAGCGAAGCCCACATTTCCTGTGGGAAATGTGTACTCTTATATGCATTTCTTTCGTAGCATCGTAGCATGACCTATCCCTCTAAAAACTTCCTGGAAAACTCATAAATACAGTCATTATATTTCTCAATCAAATTTCTTGTTGCATACCATTCGGAGCGTGGAATAGTTTGGATAGGAACTTTCCTAACCGGTTACGGTAGATATGAATATATCTATCTGCCTTTCCACTCTACTACCATACAGCTTACACTCACAAAGAGTATTAAATAGATCGTTGCATGTCTGCGACCTGTCGAGCAACTTGTATAACAACATTACCATATCTGGAATTACCATCATAATAAGTAATTCATTCATTTGAAAGGGCATACAAATATATGTCGGGAGAAAAACATCCCAGCCTGAGGAATCCCTTCAGACGAGTGCATACTACCTATGTATATTTGATCCATTCATCGGTTGCCTTTACTATATATATATGTACTTTCCTGGAATGACTCATCGTCGTTCAGAATAAGTACAAGTCCCCGCCCCCCATTGCTGGCTCTGAATTATGCAAATTACGCGACTAACCACTAACGACTAACGATTGACAACACAGGAGCGATAACTCAATATGGCAGTGACCAAATTGGGGCATTAATTGGATTCGGTTCTGTTTAATAATATTATTAGCGTCGCTTGAGGGGAATGTCCAGGGAATGGCGGCGGCCCTCGGGGCTGCGCAAATCAGATTAATCGAGAATCCAATGCAATCGTAATTGGATGACGAGTGACGATCTACTCTCGATCTACAGTACGGGGACATGTTAATGTTTGAATTGAGATTGAGACACGTGAAATGCGATTTTCTAATTGGGATGGAATCTTTTCTCTAGTTCGAAAAGGGTGTAAAGTGCAGGTACAGTTCCGGGTGGCACGGGAAGTCACGGGTCGAGTCACTGTTCGCCTGAGTTTTGGGCCAATTTTCCCACATGCCGCCAGTGAGACAATGGACTGCGATTGCTCTGCAATTACAGGTTGGAGATAATTGCGTTGATTAGCAATCGAATAAATAAATGATTAATAATGCAGAGGGGAAATCCCTTTCCCACAAACCCTCACCAGCAGGCGGAGAACAGTTACAAGTGAAAGAGAGCGCGCAGCAGCAGGCAAACGGATCACTTACACACACACACACACACGCGTGCACAGATGCTTGGGTCAGATACTTGTATCTGTGAGTCACTGAGAGCGCGGTATCTGTGTGTGTATCGACGCTGCCTCGCTCTGGTGGTGCTGCTGTTGCGGCTGTGGCTGCTGCTGCTGCGGCTGCTCTTTCTGCTTCTGGCTCGCTTATAATACAATGTTACCGCCGAACGCCTCGTAGTCCTTAAAGACGCAGCAACAAGTAAACATCGAATCGAGAGCCGCCGAACAGCTTGAACATTCAGATACAGATACAGTTTCCGAATACAATTCCGATTCCGATTCAGTTTCCGATTCCGATTCTCGCTGTAGTGGCAAAGTGCGGCGGCAATAAATAAGAATCAAGTGCCCATTGAGATACTTCTCTGCAGAGAAACAGAGAGAGATAGTGTAAGTGACAAAGTGGGGGAAAAGAGAGTGCAATCATCGTCAAGTTATACACACGTTCGTGCAACCTGTAGAACGCGTGCCGTGTTGGAGTACCATGCGGTGCCGGTCACCAAAAAATTGATTCTAAAAAACCACAAACAAACCACAGCCCCGAAATTACGAAAATGTAATAAAAGTTTTAATATTTAAACTGAAACTGAAACTCGATTTTGGAGCAGCTTTCAAGATTGCCAGCAATTAAAAAAAAATTACGACTAAATGTACAAAATAAAAAAGATCGAATTTAAACAAGTGTGTGGTGTGTGAGTGGAAAATAACCGCGCTAATTCGCGTTAAATGATGGAAAATTACAAAAATCGCTATGAACTTTATGCATTTATACCGATTAGCCAAGAGAGTGACCCATCGCTTAGGCCATCGAAAGACCCCATATCCCACGGGCCATACCAAGTACCAATTGCTTATCGGATCCGCTTTAATCTGTAATCTTGTGTGCTCAGGTCCATACTCAAACCGGCCGTTCGTCTGTCCGAGCGTCCGACTGTTGACCGAATTGCCATAAGGCTAAAAACGGGAACGGAACGGAGCTACCTGCTGCTGCTTCATCGTCATCTTTGCCGCCCTGGTCTTTCTCTCGCATATAGCCTCGCATATCAATGCTGGCCCTTGCTGCTCTGCTGCTGTTGTTGTTTTTGTTTGTTTCGCATTGATGTTGCCACCTTGCAACAGCAGCAGCAACACAAAGCCCACACAGACACACTTAACAGTCTTGTGTGTGAGTATCTGGAGTCTCGGACCTTTTTGTTTCATTCTGTTTGGTGTGTGGCGTTGTCAAGGGTGCGGCAGAACAACTTTCGTTGATATTCGATCGATATTGATCCGCAGATGATGTCATAAGTGATGCCACAGCACCGAAACAGGGACAAGGGTCCGCTGTGGCTGTTGCTGTTGCCGTTTTTTTTTTCTTTTGATCTTTGTTTTTTTTTTTGTTTTGACGGAATTTATTGGAATGTCTTGGACATTTCCTCGAAATCATCAAAATCGCCGGCGCGGCGTCTCTATTGCTGCGTCTCCTTCTCCTCCTCCCCTCACAATTGTGCGTATGCAACAGGAAATATATGTACATACATATAGTGTATGTTATGTGTATGTATTGCAGCACATAAATATCGATATATATATATGTACATATGTATATTCGATATGTGCATTTGTATGCTGGTATTTATTTATTTTTTGCGTGCAAACACTTCCGACATTTTAAATGCAGCAAACGAAGCGATCGGACCGGCTAAATAAATCAACATCAACAGCGGCAACAGCAACAGCAGCGGCAGCAGCGGCAGCGGCAACGGCAACGGCAACAACTACACTGCAGCATTGGCCACACAGCCGAAGTGGCAGTGTGTTGCGAGCCATATCAGCCGCCTCTCTGTCCTCTCCCTCCCCTCCCATTTGGCCATTCAATGCATATTAAATGATTTTAATCAACAAAAGTCGGCAACAGCAGCAGCAACATTAATAACAATAAATGACAATCAGCGATCGGGCGGCAGTATACCAAATGCCATTTAGCACATGAGCATCTGAGGTGCACATTTATTTATAATGCAAATGATCTTGAATTGGATCCGATCCCCTGTCGAACAGCGACTTTAATCGAATTAGTACATGAAAATCCAAAAAAATCGGAATGGAACTAATTTCTGGATATTCTGTAATATTTTAGATAAACCCCAAAACATCTGCGGCAAAAGCAACTTACTATAAATACAAATATAAAGAAAACTTAGTCCAAACAAAACTGTGTTACACACACACTGTACAAAGTACTTAAACAGCAAACAAACGCAAGTACTTAGCCAAACATTACACTCCAGCATTATACAATAATTGGAAAACCAAACAAACCAAACAAAAAGCAAACTCCGCGCTCTCAAAGAGATCTGAGACCCCAACCAACGAACAAACACGAACTCAAACTCAAACAATCATCGCAGACAGAGATTGTACTACGCAATGAAGAAGCTGTCACTAAATGTGAGTATCAATCGGGTTGACATATACATACGTATTACGTATACATACGTGTATGTGTGTCCACACAGATGGGGGTAATGAAATGCACTTTTCAAGTTCAGAAAAACGGAATACTGCAATTCTGGGAACGGGGAACGGGGAATCATGGGCAAGCGAGGGGACCGCGTGTCATGTTAATGAACTTGAAAAAAAAAGACAACCGTTCGGGAGGCAGGAGGCAGATCATAAGAGCAAGAGCCAGATCGTGATGATCGCAATGACGAAGTTGCCTCTCCTTCGATGACTGTTGAAGTTATTCTGGAACCGTTGTGAAACCGAAAGCAATTGGAAAAGTTGAGCTGAAAGAGCGGCACAGTCGATCAATTG